GCAGCAATTAATCCCGGACGCCGAAGCCAATAACTTTATGACAAAAGTTAGGTCATCATTCTTGTCTCTCTGGACCCACTTTGTGCCGTCTCCACCAACTCCATCAGTCTCCAACCCAGCACCAGAACCCTCGAAATCAAAAAGCATGCTCAGCAATGACATCTCTGGATTTCATCAGTACATGGCTGGAAACATGGAATCAGCTCCGACAAACGCCCCTGCAGCCGAGTTAGACCTCTATCTAGAAGAGCGGAACTTGATTCTAACTGACAATGAAGAATTCAACATCTTGAACTGGTGGGGGTCTAATGCCGCTCGGTTCCCATCTCTTTCTGAAGTTGCACGTATCCTGCTCATGGTTCCAATGACGTCGGTCGCTTCCAAATAAGCTTTCTCCACGGGTGGGCGGGTCCTTGATGATTACCAAATGCGGCTCAGCAATGATACAGTGGAGGCTTTATTATGCACTCAAGATTGGATTAACGCACAAGATCCTTAGGATTCAATTTATCTTTTCTCTGAATGTGATCTCATCTATTATCTATCTATTACATATCCATATACATGTAAACGGCATCATTCATGGGTTTCATTTTCATTTCTCCATCCACATACACGATTTGTTCCCAAAGTTTGAATTGTTTGATTGAAAAAATACAAGAAATAAATCTGGTTTGTCTTTTTCTTTGCATGCAGTCTTTTTAATACACCAAGCCCGCGGGCAGCCCGCCATAGGCCCGAAAGCCCGTTTAGATGGCGGCCCACGGGCAGCCCGAATTGTATACGGGTTTGGGTCGGGCTGCCGATTTTCTGAATGCAGCCCGGCCTGACCCGCCCGAGAAAGGGCAGGCCCGAGACGGCCAAGCCCGCCCGATTATCATCCTTAGATGTCTGTACAATGAGCCACCTACCACATGACAGACTGCCTCATATGGATTCAAGTAAAAGATATGCCGGAATCAGTCTTCTTTACATTTTAGTTGATTTAAAGATAACACCAATCAAGAAATGAGTAAGAGGCAATAAAATGAGCAGATCTCTGTCTTCTTGTGTGTTGGTTTTTTTTGTGTGATTGTCTTGACATAAGTTGAATTGAGATATAATGAAAAGAAAATAAAAGAGAAAGAGAGAGAAAAGAAGATGACTATGATAAGTTGTACAGAGTCCGCACCATCCATATAACAGAAAAAGTCGGATGCAAGATGAGTGGGTTAGATGTATAAATATATGTGCGGCTCAAATCGTCTTTTTTTTTTTTGGCAGTAGCAGCAGCCAATCTTCTTCTTCTTGTTTTTTTTTTTTTTGAAGATGAGATATCCAAGACCGGAAAAGATAGAGTAAGAAAGGAAACTGAAATAGCCCCCGTTCCCCCCCCCCCCCCTTTTTTGAAAGTACCATACCAAAAAACCAATGAGCAGAAGCAAAGAGGAAAGAAGCAAGTGAGTTGCGCAGCTAGAATTCCAACCGCCGTGTTAAAAATGTTGTGATTGGCGGTGGCTCTAGATCGTTTCCAATCGGACCGCCTCACCCGATGCGATATAGGTCCCATCAGGGCCATCGTCGACGCGCAAACAAACCACGCCGTTAGCGCCGCGTTGGCTAAAACGAAGCCGACAACAAAAAAACAACAACAGATAAATGAGCAAAGTTGAGAAGAAGGGACCGAGCAGGGGAAGCGGAGAAGAGAAACAGAAAGAGGGAGATTTACTTAGCAATGGTGATCAAATTCTTGACGGCTTGATGGGTGTCTTGACGGTCATTAAACTCATCATAGCGGCCACCAAAACCAGCCGAGCGAGGCGAGCCCCTTGAACTAGCCTGAACGAGGCCGAAGCTGCGGACGATTCTTGCGCCGGGCTGTTCGGTCTTTTCGGTGATGATGAAATCGTCCTCGTCCATCTGACCACAATCGGAGCCGAACCGACCGACGAGTCCTCCATCAACCTCCGGATATCCATTTCCCGAACCATATTGCTCATGATGGTAGGCCGGCTTGTTGTTGTAGACGGATGATGATGGTGCCATGTTGGGCGAGGAGTCCAACCTCGAGCGAATCATCGCCGTCTCCGCGGCCTGATCATAGCGTTGAAGCCCACTCGGCCCGCCATACTGACGGCTACTCGTCGTTTCCGCTCGACTCAGAGGGCGTGGGGGATCGATCGGACTGTGGTAATCGCGTGGTGCCCCAAACAAGGGCGATTCCTCGACCCCGAGACGGGAGTTGCGATGGTGATGGTGTCCACCACGAGCCTGGCCATCACCGCCTACATCCAAATTATTCATCCCGCCCATCGACCCGCTCTCGTGTCTGCCGTGGTGGGTGCCGAACTCATCCCCAGGAATCGGTCGCTCATCCCCTCCTCTGATGGAACCGGCCCATGCCGAACTCGCATTCTTCATCGGTGACCGATCCCCTTGACCAGTCAGAATCTGTTCCAATTCTTCGGTGCTCAATTGCGACAATTCTTCATTGGTTAGATTTCCAAGTCCTTGTTCGGCGCCATAGAGATCTGGGTGCGGATTGCCACGCGGAGAGCGTCCAAGGCCAATCAAGTTCCCCTTGATTTCGCCATCGGGCTGGAGAGTAGGGCCCATTGCATGTGGGTGGGTGATGCTGTTGGCCCTGGATCGTCGACCACCTGTATTATTAGTAAGTTCAGATCCAAGGTGATCTCGACGAGGATTCGGCGATAAGCCTTCGTTGTTTGATAACCCGACATGACTGTTTGAACGGGAGCGCATGCTGCCCATGTTGCTGCTTGTTTCGAAATCATTGCCAAGTTGACTCCTAGCGCTTCGCAAGAAATCTTCGCCATGCATTTCAGTATGACTGTTTGCGCGGGAACGACCGCCGCCGCCGTTCAAGTTCATTGCGTTGAGATCGGCGCTCAAATGGCTGTTATCCATCTCACGGTAGTCATCCATTGGATCTAATCGGCTGTTGGCACGCGATCTTCTTCCGCCATTGATTTCACTATTCAGGGCCGCACTTTCGAGCCGAGCTGATAGGAGCGCATCATTATTGATGTGATTGATATGGGGTATCTGCTCCGCCGGTTCTCCTCCGAATTGAAGTCCAAGATCTTCAGCAGTAAGGTTGCGAGACGATGGTCGGCTAGGAAGTCCTAGCCGTGGCTGCATAGGACTATAGTCGGCGCGTATGCTTCCAGATCTAGACGCGGGCCGGGAGATGGAATCGAAGTCGTGGACTCGACTGCTAGCCCTGGAAGATGGCCTGGGATGTACATCTAGATGGTGACTGTCATGATAGTAGTTGGGATCTAGGTTATCGATCATGCTGGGTGTTCTTTGATGACCCATAGATGGAGCTGGGCTCATTTGATGAGCCATGCTTGAGTTCGACATCATTTGATGACCCATCGACGGATTCGGCATGTGATGACCCATAGATGGAGTGCCCATCTGACTCATTGATGGAGTCGACATCAGATGAGTAAAGCCCGAACTCAATCGATTATGTTCTTCCCTCGCCCTCAATTGGCCTCGCAAGCGTTGGGATTCGAGCGCTTTCATCTCAGCCTTCTCTTTTTCTCGTTCACGAGCTCCGAATTCTTCCCTGAGAGCTGCCCTAGACTCTGCACGGGCGATCGACATCACATCTTCACGGTTCAACGATAGTTGAGAGTTGTGTCTGCTGCGAGATGGTTCACGAGCTCGATTGATAGATTCCTCGCGGACCCTGCTGCCCTCGCGAGCCCTACTACGGGATTCTTCACGCTCTCTGCCAGTCATGCCAACGCTGGGGGAACGACGATGATCAAAGCTTTGACTGCGAGAACGGCCTGGGGTTCGGGTAAGGTTATCACCTAGGAATTCTTCGCCTCTCATGGCGGGCGTCATTCTGCCCCCAACACTAAGTCTATTACTATCGAGTCCATCACGATGTGGCTGTGGAGTTGCTTGTCGGGATGGACCATCTCGGTGTCTTGGGGTTGGCGCTCTGGATAATGAGGGGTTGAGTAAATCCTGTCGCATATGCATATCTTCGTTTCGCCTGATCTGTTCCTCGTGAAGACGGTCATGTGGCTGATGTCCCATCATTGGTCCACCAGGAGAAGGATGGTGGTGTGGGGTTAGGTGGCCGACACTGGGCATATGGACGTGTTGATTGATGTTGGGAGTGCGAGAGCCAAGACTCGCGAAACCACTGGGTGTGCGTGGTCTGTATTCCGCCGACATGCTGCTGTCCGATACCGCCTCGTGACGCAGGTAAGGACCCAGCACGTCAAACTCGTCATACATGTCATTGAGTAGACCTTCGGTTTCGATTTCTTCAATTGACGGTCGAGAAATGCCCATGGGAGGTGATTCGCCTTTCTCCATGGCTCGTTTGATGGACAACTCGGCTTCGAGAATTTCTTTACGGTGTAGTTGATGCTCCAATAATTCAAGCTCTCGTCGCAAGGCTTCACGGTCATTTTCTTGCCTTCTTCGGAGGTGGTCCAGAATCTCCCTCTCTTGTAAGCCTTTTTCCTTCAATTTCAGTCGATGGTCTCGATCACGTATGTCGCGAAGTTGAGCTTCAGTAAGGGCCCTTTCTCGCTCCGCTTGTAAATTGACTTGGGTCTCGATCTCTCGTTGTTGCAACCCACGCTCCCGTAATTCAGCAACTAATTCACGCTTCCGAAGATCTCGCAATGCCTGTACTTTCAAGTTATGTTGTCTAGCTTTGAGGTCAAGAGTCTCTAATTTTCTCCTTCGGAGCCTTTCAGCTTGGGCCCTGAGAGCCATTTCGGCAGTGAGATTATTTCCACTGAGGCGGCGAGCATGAGGATTCGGATAAGGTGCATGGCCTAGCCCGCGCGATTGATGGTGATGATTAGGAGCTCCCAGTGGGGGATGGGTAAGTCCAGGGGGAGGGCGAGCAAGGCTTTCAGACATTCGACGGGCCCGAGGAGCAGGTTCGGGAGGACCAAGTCTATGGCCCATTGAGGCATTTTGCATATGCCCGGAAGGAATTCTGGAAGGTCCTAAGTGCGCTCTGTTGATCGATTGCACAGAAGGTGGGCGATTCTGTATGGGTAAAGGATGCGGGACCGGTGGTGGTGGTGGTACGTGGACTCTAGTCGGACCCAAATTAACCGGGGTCACCGGCCGATGATTTTCTCGTACAGCGTGATCCTAGCGAAAGAGGTAGATGGAAGAAAAACAGTGATGAGTATCGGATTGATTGAATCAGGCTCATACAAGTAGCTGCTAAACCTACTCTGGCTGCTCTAGCCAAAGCTTCGGTTCTCAGCCTTTCATTCTTGATTCTAGCCAAATCAGCTTCACTGAGCGATTCCCGCCCTTCACGCTTAGCCAGCTCAAGCTTCGCTATCTCGAGATGCTTGGCTTCAGCGACTTGGCGTTCGCGCAGAGCGAGTCCATGCTCCTAAAATACATATCAAATAAATGGGAATCAATCAGAACTCGCTGATTTTAACCACTATTGTGAGGATATGCTTAATAGAGAAGTCTGAGGTACCTGAGCTTTGAGTTCGGCCTACAAAATCAGCATTCGCAAGTCAAGAGAAGAGAAGGGAAGATCAGGATTCGCAGCCAATAGTACTTGAGCAGAAGTATGAGATCTGACGAACCGACAAGGCCAATTCATTGAGGGCTTGAGTTTTTTCCTCCAACTTGCGAACTTGGTCGAGCTGGGATGGATAAGAAGATGGATAAGTGTCTGGAGGAGCGATTTGTGGGATTGAGTTGCTGAGAAGTTAGAAGCACTGACGGTTTTTATCCTTTCCTGGACCTCGACTTTTTTCATCTGCTCTTCCTCGGCCATCCTCTTGCGTTGACTTTCGAGGAACTGCTGGTCGGCCGTTTTGGGTCTCCTGTTGAGATTTTTTGTGAAGCGATACGATCGGTAAGCAATCGAGTGACACCACACTTCTTTCAAAAAATAAATAAATAAATAAATAAGGCAGTCAGACTGACCATGTTTTGGCTCCAACATGAAAGATTGAGGATTTTCCGCTGACGAAGGGCATGGTGAAGGTGATCGGTGTTGGGTATGAGTGATACTGATAGGGGGGGAGGGGAGAGAGAAATGAGGGATGAGCGAGAAGAAGAGAAGAGAGAAGAGATGATCTGGAAGAATAACAAGAAACCCGATGGAAAGAGAGAAGAAGGATGGATGGATGGATATTAGGAGATCAGGGGGGGGGGGAAGCAGAACAACAACGGCACAAGCTGGGGGAGCACTTTCAGGAGTAATCTCGGCCGCGTAAATCCAGCAACCGGTGAAGCGGCATCCAACTGGACTCGGCTCGAACAGCAAGCAGCCAGAGAAGTACACAGCAGTGGGCAATCAGGAAGTCGATGGAATCCAGCCAATAAATCCGTTATATGCATTTACGTAACGGCCTCTTCTGCGCCTGCAACTTGCCCATACAACAACAACAACAAGGGCATCCACCCATCATCAACTGACAGCGCGCGTGATGTGGGTGTTTGGCCGATTACAATATGTAATAATATTTGCTGGTGCGTGTCTCTCGTTGGAAATTTACCACAAGATTCTCAAATCTCAACTTTAAAATGGGTATCCACAAACATATCAACCCAATCGAGGGAGAGTATGCTCAGAGTATCAACAAGTTGACTGTTAAATATTTATGTACTGTGGTGCTGATCGGTGGTGAGGTTCAACTTGGCAAGTCCCTCCTTTCATGGAAGCCAAGAAGCAGGAAATCTTCCCGACCCGACGACGATACATAGCAAGGCCGGTCGATGGAGATGTTTGGATGGATGGGTGCGGACGGAGATTGGGCTCCTCATTCATAAAAGACTTCAACAAGGGCTTTTGTTGTGTACATAAGAAAACATATTGAAATATCGAGCTTGCCCTGCGAGGTGATCATACAAGAGCAATTCAAGCTCTGATGTGTACATATGTACAACAACCCCCTACAAAAGCCGTCGCCGATCGTTGATTGATGATGTTCAAAGTTGTCCAAAAAAAAAGGAAAGAAACTTGCCTCGGAAGCTGATGACTTGATGAGTCTGGAGCCAACTCGTGAGTGATTAGGAATCGATCAAACTCATCCCGTCCCGGCCGGAACTGACTTGGAGGACACTTTTCGGAGTGTAAATATGTAGAACTCGTTAAAGCGAAAGTGGTTGTCTGGCCTTCGACTCTGGGTTTTGCATGCATCGCTCCTCATGGGCTACACACCCACCTGGACGTCGGCCGGAAGGTCTGACCACCCAAAAAAAAAAGGCGAGAGACCATGGAAACAAACCCTTCTCCACTCTGCTTTGGACCCAGTCTGTGCATATCATGATAAAAGCAATCCAAGAAGAAAAAAAATAAAATAAAAACCAAAAGACAAAAGACATCTCTGGGAGTGAAGACACTTGCCACCTTCACAACTGATCACACTCCATCAGGCCGTCGGTACAAATTTACCTGAAGAGCAAGTGTGTTTGAAATTGCTAGATGATGTTTTGGAACAAACTTAGCAGGAATCTACGTGATCCCACTCCTATTTTTTCTTCAAAAAATTCAAGCCTTATCTGCTATCTTATGATTATGCTTCATTGCCACTTATCAGCCTTGAGTTCAGTAATTATGGGATCAAACTTGGGAATACATGGTGTGGTATATAAGCTACTGAGAAGAGAGGGCCAGGCTTGCCATCTTTGAGGGGCAAAAAGGGATCAATAAAACTGGGTAATCAAAGTATAAATATGTACCCTCCAGTAAAAGTTATGAGGGGGGGCTGGATTCAAGATATTTGATTTCCAGCTACTTTCACATTTAAAGATCATTTAAGTAGACTAGAGTTGATGAACATAGCTTGTGGCAAAGATTCGGGGCTCATTTCAATGCACCACCTTGACTGTACCGTTGAACAAAGATAACAATAGCCGTGAGCATTTCATTTGAAGAGAGAAAGGATGACACTACACAGAAGGCACTTCATGAACTCGTGCTGAAAGGAATGGCAATCAGTTTGATGTGAGGCATTCCGAGAGATGAATCTTGTTCCCTTTATTATTAACAACGCCATGGTGAGCGTTAAAGATAGGCAATTATTATTATTATTATTGCATTCTGAAATGCCAGTCAAAGGAGAGAAGTGAGGTTATGACCCAGATTCAACGCATCCAATTCTCCTTGACCAGGAGAAGGAGCACGACAAGCGCGGTGATGGCGAGCATCAGATTAGTGTATCGATCTCGCCAGAGCTCATTGTGAGCGAGAGGACGGACTGGGAACCGATGTGTTGTTGGGCTTCTGATGGAGAGCAGAGACGGCTGAGTCGACGGGCGTTTGTCTGCCGGGATCAGTTGTCTGCAAAGCGGACAGGTGAGATGATTATTGTCTATCCAAGGCTGGATGCATTGGTTGTGGAACTGGTGGCGACACTCTTCCCACCAGAAGTTGAGATCACTGCTCTGGAATTCGCTCAAGCAGATCGGACATCTTGCAGGGTCGGGGTCAGTGATCGGACTGGCCGGGTCTCCGAGCTGCTGCTGGTTACACCGGCTCAACAGCCGCTCAGTCAGCTCCGGAGCAGCCGCCGATGTGAGTTTCTGGTGGTGTCCATCCGTTCTGGAGCTTCTTCTGCCCAGTGGCTCTTGATCATCAACCACAGCACTTCCCAAATCAGGCTCCTCGATTTGAATCTGAAAATTCAACCGATCAGATATTTACATATCTGCTGAGTTCGACTCCCAAAATTCAACTCACTTGCAGATGATGTGGGTGGTCAACCACCTCCGGAACCGAGTGGGCCCGATCGTTTGGACTCATACATACGTCTGAGGGAAACCCGGTGGATGCCTTTTGTTGGCGCGGATGGGATGATGAGTGTGAAGAAGACACACTCGGATGACCGATGTGATGTTCTATTTGGTAGACGAATTGTCCGGGCTCCTGAACCGATTCAATGGCCAAGCATCCGTCGATAACCTGATCATCGAATAAGACAATTATCCTGTCAGTTCACGAGCACCCCAAATCCACTTCCAAAAGGTATGAATATGTAACATCGGCAAAAGGCTCAACTGGTAGGAGGAGAAACCACAACAACATTTCGACCAAACCTGAGGAACTCCAATTTTCGGTCCCACAGTATGCAGATGTGGGTCTTCTTCCTTTGAGGAAAAAAAAAAAGTGCTATCAAAGCCCTGTGTGGCTCGAGCTCACAAAACTTGTTTGTATCGAGTTCTGGAACCCGGAGCCGCCCATCGTTGTGTGTTTTGAATCACCAAATCCACGTCCAGCTTGAACCATTCAACCTTAATTCTAAATGGTTCTAGAGCCTTAAATAAATACCTCAAACAGACATTTATTGCAAACCTTCATAGTGGTTGAGAGTGATGGCCAAGGTATGTAATTTTTGATAGCGCAGAACTCGATGTGCAATCCGACCTGCGTAGCCAAGACCAATGATAGACCTTGTGTATCAGCCTCAATGATCTTGTGGGCTGCGGATGTTCAGAATGGATGTGGGCCTCGAACCCATCCTTTTCTTTTTTTTTTTTTGCTTGCGACTCGGGAGAAGATATTAAGAGTGATGATAAAGAGACGGTCAACAAAAGACTGATAGGGCTGAGCCCAGGCCCTGATGCAAAATGCAAATGATCAGGTGCTGACTCAGAAAACGGCGCCCGATTACAAGCCTCTTGAACTGGAGCATGCCGAGCTGGACAGACTTCATTAAAGCCAGCCGGCGCGCTCTCAATATCCTCTCGGCACCGCTGGCTCGACGGGACTCCGGATACCCCGGAAAACTGCGCCATCAGTCACAACAAGATTAACTCATACCCGCTCTTCCACCATTCATGAATGATACCAATGATCAATTTTTTTCACTTGCTGTACACTGGAAAATACGTTGAAGTTAGAACAAAGTCAGCAATACTTTCAACTTGATGAACTAGTGGTGCGCATAAGAAAATTTGAAAGTTGTTTTTCTTAACTCAAGTCAAACCCTGAATGCGAACTCTGCACACTCACTCCCTATCATAAGAAGTAAGGGTCAGACGATTTTTTGTCATGGAAGTTGAACTTGCTGGAAAATTATTGTGGTTTGATTGTAACTTACCAGCTGATGACTTTTGAAGCACATACTGCAATAAGATCAAGACCCATGAAAGCACGAGAATCCAGGAATTTCTCTTCCCGAAGACAAACTGCACAAATGATTCTGATCAGATTTGTTATTTCCTGATCTGATAGAAGTATCCTTATCAGGAAAGAGGTGCATGCTGAAGGCTGAACTGACTATGTACAGTACACCAGACATTCTGAAACTTGAGTTGGAGGTGATGCAGATACATAGAAGTGAAAGTTGAGCCAGTGTCTGCTTATTAAGCTTATGATTGTTGATTTTTATATTACACATGGAATACCTTTCAAAAAAAGAAGAAGTATGTTTTCAAAGTTTTTGAGAAGTAGAAGGGCAGATGAAATTTGAGATTTTTTTTTTGAACAAAAACAAATCAGATTTTTTCAGTTGAGTATCTTGCTCACTTAGCTAAGCGACCCTCTAAAGAGGGACTTATGGGCTATGTCACCCCCGCCGCCCATGAGGATTAGGCATTTGGCTGGGGGAAATTTTAAAACTCAACCCACTCAATCATTCATGAAAATTTTTCCCCTGGGTTTGACTGGCATGGAGGCCGCACTGATGCACATCTGCTCATACTTACTGCTTCCCTTCACCCCTCATGGTTGGAGCTCTCTGCTTAAATTTGCGTTTTGGTCACTCTGGAATATGTGTTATGACATCGGCTCATAGTCCTGAGTCTTCCATGAAAGCAAACTGTATCAGTGGAAGTACATATCAACAGACCTGTTATTATGGGACAAGCTGCAGAATTCACCTCTGTATTCTATTGAGCTGCTTTTGTATGTATGTGACCTGTGGCAGTCCATGCAGGATGGCCATGAAAAAGGAAAACATTGGACACAAATTTAAAGGTTTGGCTGAAAAATACCCCTGGACCTCTACAACCTGGTGAAGGGCTCGGTTTGATTCTCACAGATGTGCCGCTTCTTTTGGTGAGCAACTTCCTAGGCATTGGGTGCATCAAGACGCCTGTGGAGACTGTTGAAATTTTGAACTCAAAGACAGCAAGTGCTGAGGTTTTTTAGAGAAAATGGCACAAAAAAGGTGAAGGCCTTTCTTGGGAGAGGTTCACGGAAAATGAGTGATAGAACCAATGGGTTTTTATTCACTGTATTTAAGCTGACTTAAGTAGACTAAATACAAGTGACCAACATGTGGTTGGGAGAAAATGAATAAAAAGATGTTTTTGAATAAAAACTGAGAGGATTAAACAAATGAGTTCTTGAAAGAAATAACGTGACATGCCTTCTCAGTCTCTTTTAGTCATGCAAGAAAATTAATCAAGAGAAAACACAAGTTAAGCCACAAATACTGAGAGGCGTTAATTCTCAATAATCAGATTTTAAAGAATCAAATAGTGAACTAGAAAAAGAAAGGAATCAATCAGAAAGACAGGAGTTGTTGATAAAATTGCTATTGATAGTTCTAATTAGACTCCAAGAAGTGCATAAGATTCAACACAAAACCAGCAGTGAAAGACTAAAAATTCAGTCTAGATCAAGAAGATTCAAGAAAGAAAAAGGAAGAAAAAGTAAGGGAAAAGAGGGAGTTTTTGGGAAGGAGTAGACCAGAGGAGTGAAAAACTCAACAGAGACCTTTGAAAAAAAAAGCAACTTTTTCCAAGTCCTCATAGGCCAGCAGGGCAACATAGCACATAAGTCCCTCCTTTGGAGGGTTCCTGCGGGACAGCGTCCCCCCTCCAAATAGAGAGGGACTTAGTTAAGTTAGAGTATCTTGTGTTTCACGCCCACAAATTTCATCTTGTGAACTGCCACCAATTATTGGATGAAACTTTCTCAGAATTTATAAGAAACCAGTCAAAACAATCAGCCTGTGCTTGTACAAACAGAAACTTGAATGAATACCTTGAAGGATGGATGAGTGTGGAAGACTGTATCAAAGCAACAACAAACCAAGAAAACTTGTTTTGGAAACCCTTCCAGAATATTAAAAAAACCCAGACTTTTTTTGGGGTTGGTCCTATTCCAGAGTCTGAGCCGCTCCTGACTGACTTCTTTTTTAGGGGTTGCATTTCACTAGCTATTTGAAGTACAAAAGAATCAGTCTACATAGATCTGTGGCTCTTTTTTGATTGGGTCACCACATATATGCCTGATATTATCAGCTTGGAAAGGGTTTCAGGAAAGTAACCCCCCCCCCCCCCCACTGAGACAGTTCACAGAGCTCACATACATATTTGTCAAGAGTGGGCAGGATCTAAGTCCCTCCGGCAGTTGATCCAATGGCTTGCCGGAGGAGGGTCCCTGCAGGACGGTGTCCCCCCTCCCATAGAGGGACTTAGGGGCAGGATGGTATGTAAGGTTTCAAAAGTTGTGTTTGTTACTGAGGACAGGACAGCTTTCAAGATTAAAAAAAAAACAGTATCAGGCAAAGGCTACATAGGCCTCAATCATCCGTCTCCATCACCCTGGTTAAACAAAAGAACATGTGGGTTCAGACCAGATAATTGTTTCCTCATTTGCCTCTATTACTGCACAGTGTTGAATCTTCACTTCCAACTCAAATAGTTATTCAAGGATAGCAAGATACATTGGCTGATCTTTTGCTGCATATGGGAATAGGGGTAACAGACGGCATCTTTTTTTTCAAAAAAACTGCCATTGATTTCATATCCCGCACCATTAAGTACCTACATAAGACGTTTGTCGCAAAAAAAAAGTCGGGAGAAAAGCATGCCCCATTGATAGGTACTTGTCTGAGCAAGTCGAGTGGACGCCAAACGAGGTGAAAGGCAGGTTGACTGGCGGGTTTCCTCAAGACCAATTATCAAGGTTTGGCTATTTTTTTTTTCTCTCTTTTTGACTATCTTACTGATGTGCGAAGGTATCTGACAAAACTGAGCAACAAGAAAAGGACTGAGTGGAGGGTGCATGAGGCTTGTTGCAATCAGGTCTATGAGAATTTCGCCAAGATCTCGGCGTCTCGGAATAGGTGGTATTCCTTTCGAAGAAGAATGAATTGATAAACAAAATCAGTGGGTGAGGTTGTGCAAGAAGCTTAGAAGCGATTATGGGAACTGACTTCGTCTCCAACTTTGATTGATTGGCCGCCATAGCTGGGCAAGAGAACCTTATCACCAGTTTTGAATTCCATGGGTATAAGTTTCCCGTCACTGAGAGATCAACAGGAAGGGCATAAAACAAAAGTCAGCATGCAAATCAATCCAGACTTCAAGAAGAACTGTGACTGTTTTTATGTATTTTTCTTTGTAATTTACCGATCACGGCCTCCGGGACCGACGGCCAGGACGGTGGCTTCGGGGACCTGCTTCTCCGTGACGGATGAGGGTAAGAAAATCCCCGATGCCGTCTTCGTTTCCGCCTTGACCCGTTGGACCAGAATCCGATCGAGCGTTGGTTTTAGGGACGAGATCGATCGAAGTGAGATAGACTGAAGCGAAGAATGATTCGAAACTGATCAATGAGAGTCTATATCCATAATTCCTTGGAATGGGTTAGAATTACTTACCATGTTGTGAATTCAGTCAGCGGTTGAAGGTTGATGAACTGCGTGAATGATGGTGGTACAAGAAGAAGATTATTCAGGATCGTAGTCAAGGTGCGGCTGAGAATTGAACATGTTTACCGACCTGATGAGTGGAAGATTTCTTTGACGTTGGTTGACTGGCGGAGTTTTCTGGAAGGTTGGAGGATGTTGAGTCGAAGTTTCCGATATTCAATATGAGGCGGCTGTATGGATATCTGATCGACTGCGGCGCACAGCATCGACTTTGTTCTGGGTTTCCAGATCGATCTCGAAAAAAATAGAAACAGATCCCGAGCAGGCAGAAATCTAGAAAACCGGGCTAAACCGGGATTTGAACTGGCTGCGGCAAGTTTCAAGCCCTGTGACTGTATGCAAATTGGGGTGTATTCAAAACAGGCATAAAAAAAAACCAAAGACAGTACACTGTTGGAGTCACCCGTTGGATTCTTCCGCCATCGAAAATCAAAATACCATCCGCCGTTGGAGTACACACCCTTCGCTGCCAAACCCTCGCATCCCATCCAATCAATCCCCTGAACAATATCACCAATCATCATCATGCTCAGATCCCGTCTCGCTGCCTCATCCGGCCTCCCCTCGCTTCGTAACCAGTCTCAGAGAACTTCCCTACTGGCCGGTCAGAAGAGATTTGCCAGTTACAAAGAAATCAAAGCAAGTTTCATCAATCACCTGTTTCTTTTTCATTTCCCCTGTTGAATAGATAGCTAATCAAGAAAATATACTCATCCTCATATCGAATCACAGTTCTCAAACGATGGTCGAGCGGCCATGCTAGCCGGTGTAGACGTCCTGGCCAAGGCTGTCTCAGTCACTCTGGGCCCAAAAGGCCGAAATGTGATCATTGAACAGTCTTTCGGCGGACCGAAAATCACAAAGGATGGTGTCACCGTGGCGAAAAGCATCACCCTTAAGGACAAATTTGAAAATCTGGGTGCTCGGTAAGTAATCCAACCGTCTTGACTTGATATCTTCCTGTCACAGACCATAATATATTCCAAATGCTTACCCTTGAGTTTCTTGCCTTCGGCGCATTAGACTAGTTCAGGATGTAGCCAACAAGACAAACGAAATCGCTGGTGATGGTACGACTACTGCTACGGTTTTGGCCCGAGCAATTTACTCTGAGGGTGTCAAGAACGTCGCCGCTGGCTGTAACCCAATGGACCTTCGTCGAGGATCCCAAGCCGCTGTGGATGAGGTGATCAAGTTCCTAGACCAGAACAAACGAGAAATCACGACATCCAAGGAGATCGCTCAAGTGGCCACCATCTCAGCCAACGGTGATGCCCATATCGGCCAACTGATATCAAACGCAATGGAGAAGGTCGGAAAGGAAGGCGTGATCACCGTCAAGGAGGGCAAGACGATCGAAGATGAAATCGAGGTCACCGAGGGCATGCGCTTCGATCGTGGTTACATCTCCCCTTACTTCATCACCGATATCAAGACCCAGAAGGCCGAGCTTGAGAAGCCTCTAATCCTCCTCTCAGAGAAGAAAATCTCAGCCCTTCAGGATATCTTGCCTTCCCTCGAGGCTGCTGCCACCCAGCGTCGACCTCTATTGATCATTGCCGAAGACCTGGACGGAGAAGCACTAGCGGCTTGCATCCTGAACAAGCTTCGTGGACAGCTCCAGGTGGCTGCTGTCAAGGCCCCCGGCTTCGGCGACAACCGAAAATCGATCCTTGGCGATCTTGCTATCCTTACCGGTGGAACCTGCTTCAACGATGAATTGGACATCAAACTCGAGAAGGCAACACCAGACCTGCTCGGCTCAACTGGCTCCGTCTCGATCACCAAGGACGACACGATCTTGCTCAACGGTGAAGGCCAAAAGGACATGATTTCCAACCGATGTGAACAAATCCGGGCCGCCATCACCGACCCTAGCACATCTGACTACGACAAGACCAAGCTACAGGAGCGACTAGCCAAATTGAGTGGCGGTGTCGCGGTCATCAAGGTCGGGGGACACAGCGAGGTTGAGGTCGGAGAAAAGAAGGATCGATTTGATGATGCTCTGAACGCTACGCGAGCTGCTGTCGAAGAAGGAATCGTTCCAGGTCAGTCATATTTTTTTGGTTGTTAGATATCATGATCTTGCATCTCAGTACTGACCCTTGTTTCTGTTTTTTTTTTTTGCGGCAGGTGGAGGAACTGCCTTACTGAAAGCAAGCAAGGCCTTGGACGGATTGAAGTTGGCCAACTTCGACCAACAACTCGGGGTTTCGATCATCAAATCGGCCATCCAAAAGCCCACACGGACGATCGTTGAGAACGCGGGTGAAGAATCGTCGTTGGTTGTTGGCAAGGTGCTCGAACACTACAGTGGAGAAGGACAGTTCCACTGGGGCTATGATGCCGCCCTGAGCGAGTACAAGGACCTGGTTGCCAGCGGAATCATCGATCCCCTCAAGGTCGTCAAGACCGCCCTGCATGATGCTGCCGGTGTTGCCAGTCTGCTCACCACTAGTGAAGCCTGTGTCGTCGACGCGCCTGAAGATAAGGCCGCTGCACCAATGGGTGGCATGGGTGGAGGTCAGTAGATCTCTTCTTTGCATCTCCCTCCTCCTTCTTCTTCTCATACATACCGTCTATCCAGCTTTCTGATTGTATGTCTTATTCTTCGAAACTTGGATCTCTAGGTATGGGTGGAATGGGAGGAGGAATGGGCTTCTAATGTCAATAATGTAATATATATATATCCCAAAAATATCCATTCTCACAAAATATCCCCTATAACCACCCCGCTTCTTCTTCTTCTTCTTGCTCAACAACAAATACAATACTTTTTTTTTTCAAAACTCCCCCGCTTACTCTGACCGAAAAACAAAAAACAATAACCAACTGTATGTATACCCAAGGAAGTTGGACGCCCATATACACAAAAACAGTGCGGTTTTGGGTAGTCAAAGTTTGGCAACGGAAATTCCTTAACGCTTATGTCGACTCTTCTTGCCCTTCATCACACTCTAATCTGAAATCTATGCATTGTTTATTTTTTTGTTTGTCTTTATTCGTGTGTGTGGATTTGAGTTGGCCTCGGTGCCGGCTTGCTTCGTTGTTATCGCCTTCTGTTTATATGAAGAATGGGGTGGCCCCAATGGACCAACTCCTTGGATATACATATATAAAAATCAGTGAGGGTTATACATTTGGTCGGGTCCTCCATGCGAAGCTCATAAATTATATGTGGAGCACTTCCCAAAGATATATCTGCAGACCCTATGTTCAGAATCAGATTTAGACACTCTGGAATCAGGTTTGTTGGGGAAATCTGGTTCAAGGAAGGGGTCACAAGTTCGGTTTTGAAGGGGCTACATAGAGAGCCAACACGAAGTCCCCCAGCATCTTGCCTTGTGGAAACCCAATGCTATCATCTTTGCTACTTTGTACCAAAACCGGATGGTTGGTTCTGTCACAACAGCACTTGTCATGGGCCATGGGCCGGGCTCATTCATCGTGGGGCTTGGAGAGGCAATCTGCGTCTTGGTGAAGCCCATCCAGCCCCCACGTCAGCAGACCGCCGCCGAAATTGATTGCAGTGGTCCCACAGCGAACCCGGCAATTTTTCCTTGCCACTTAGTTTGCCATCAAAAATCTTGGCCCGGAATTCATAAGAGCTTGTTGTGTATCATGAGCTTTGGGGGTGCTCACATTTCGCTCGGATAGAGTGATTCGAGCTGAATAAATACGGATAAATACCAGCACATATCGGACTCGGGATTTATTCATGAGCAGGTTTGACAATGTTTGTTCGGTCATTGGCGAAAAAAAAAATAAAATAAATATGTACAATTTATATACTTTGGAGCTCATTGTATCTTAAAAGTAACCTCCACCAAGCATGGGGGGCATGCCGCCCATCCCGTTGCCGCCAACTGGAGTTACTGGCACGATCGCAGTCGGCAGAGGTATTGGTCCAGTGGGGCCCATGACACCGTTGATGGGAACCGGTGGCCCACCGAAGGTCCCAACAGCAACCCCACTCGTAGTACCACCACCAAGCTTGGGCGCCTTGAACTTGGTCTTGTAGAAGCCAGCGTCCTGTCGTTTCCGAAGGAGGTGTTGGATAGATTCTCCGTCTCGCTCGTTAAGACTGGCATGCACTCCGCCCTGCTTGTTCTTTTCTGCGTTCCCTTCACTTGAAGGGCTTGTATCGGAAGGCTCACTACTACCGCTGCCGCCATTGAGCATGAGTTTGTTTCTTCCTGATTTGTTCTTTCCTGCGTCGGGAGCTGAGCTTCCAGCAACATAACCACTCGATTCTCTCGCCATCGTCGATTGCCCTGTGGCCGTTTTCCCTCCGCCAGTGTTTGTTCCCGGACCTTCATCAGGTTTCTTCGTCGGGTTGTGTTCCTTGAGCGAAGTTGGTTTTTTTCCGATGCCTTGAATGCTTGGCAGATCACCTCGTTTCCAGAGCACATCTCTAAGGCCTCCTCGTTTCGTGAGTCCTTCGGCTCCAGCTGGAATTTTTTCCTCACCGCTCTCGGCTTTCTCCGTGCCAACTGGCCCAGGCCCGACGGGTTTCGCGTCTTCCAAGCCGGTGGTGGGCTTGGCCATCTCGGCGGTCTTCGTCTGGGAATGGTTCATCGTTTTTGAAGGGTTTTGGGCTGGCTGTTTGGCACCACTGGAAGGCACCGAGGGAGCTTGACTCTGCCTGGGAGCAGTGTGGAGTCCATTGGGGTTGTTCGTCTTGTTGTCGCCAGTCATTCCTAAATGTGGCGGAGCGTTCGAAGAGGGCCTAAAAAAACAAAGCGAAGTATGATTAAATAAACAACAATCTTTTTCCTTGCAAGGAATAAGAAACCTTTTGGATTTCAGATTATAGTGTTTTGAACAAGAGACTCACTGGCTGGGTTTTGAAGGTCCTGTAACAGCTTGAGCTTGGATGTCTAGACAGGCGTATGCGCAAAAGACGATTGCCACGAGTTGGATAAACCTCGAAGAAATCATGTTGTCGGTGATGTGAATTTTGCGATGATGCCTTGGGTTGATGTTTACTAAGATTATGATATATAATGACAAGTTGACGAAGAATTGATATAAAATAAAGAAAGCCCAGCTTAAAATTTTAAACAAAGGTAGGACGATTCGATGGATGTGAGTTATGAAAAAGAAAAAGAAGGAAAAAGGGAAAAAATACTGAGAACTTTTTGAACAGTTTAT